CTCAACAGGCTACTCCTGCTCCTCACATGTCTATGCCTTATTTCTAGGCCTGAATACATGAGACTTCCTGTCATCTCCCATTGTTTCTGGAATCTCTTGGATATTGCCTGACTTGAATAGCTGGCCCGCAACATTTTGCCACCCAAAATGACTGTGCTTTTTTTTTTAACCTTGCTGCCAGGTTTCATTTCTACAGGTAGTAGGAGAGACAGTAAGAACATTTATGCTCCTGAGAGGGCTATTTCCTCACCAGACAAGTCACCCCTTCCTACCAAACATATCTGTCCTTTTGGTGTTTCTATACTCATTGTTTCCATCTTCTGCAAAGCATTGCACTGTATTCACTGGCTTCTATGAAAGCACGGGACACGTTTGTGTGAGCCGTTCCTTTTCCTGGGGCTACACCTGACACCTGCTAGGCTGCAGCAAAAATTCTGCTTGCACAGGCTCTAAGGCAGGGCAGATGGTGGGAAGACAGAAGAGGCTCAGCCTTAGGCTACATTTTGACCCCAGTGACAGGCAGCCCATGTGCATCAATGAAAATAAGTAAAAGCTTTACTTGCACTTCTTCATAGTACTGTAGAAACTGAAGGGGGGGAAATAGATCAGGTCTTGCCCTGCCCTAGTGATAAGGAGCCCACCTGTCCTGCAGGCTGGGGTGGGGAACAGATATAGAGGACTTAGGTTCTTTCCCCTGCAAGGCTAAAGAAAAATAACAGACATACATGCTTGAGAGACACGAGAGAAAGCAGTGATGATGCAGGTAAGACCATGGCCATTTTCACACTACCGTTCTAAACCAGATTGTTGGCCCGTGTTTGAGTAAAGCAATACAGGGACTGGGGTTTCATACAGCGAATATCCTTCCATGGATGAGCCATCTCTGAAGCACTATAGTCGCTTCAAACAGTGCTGCTTCCCCTGGCCCTTTTTCTCAATGGTGCCACTATAGTACTTAGAACGCTGGGGGGAAAGTCCGAGGAAGATCGCGTGGTGAAAAGGGGCAGGAGGGCTGCAGTGTAGGAAGTGCTATGGACATTTTAAACAGCACACCATAGTGATTCAGAAGCGCAATGAAGGGAAAAAATGATGGGAAAAAACAGTTTCCCTAAGAAGCAGATCAACCATGCTTTGCTAACCCTGATCCAAGAGGGCTTGTATGAAAAGGTAAACAAATTCTGTTAGCAGCTAGTTACTAAAACAGCTTTGTCTGAAATGACAGAAAAAAATCCCTTAGCAACCAGTTACTAAAAAGGAGTACAAAGGCAGTTTGAAAAGGGTCCATCTTGTTATGAAAGAGAAAACCATTGATTTGGAATTTCAGATCTCTTGAACATTTTATTGCATTTAAAAGCACTGCACACTGACATGCATTAGTCGACATGTAAAAAACGGGGCTAATTTTCAACAAATCTGGCACATGGGAAAGGAAGCTAACCCTGCTCCTGTCCAACACCTTGTTTTATTGCTACACTCGGCTATCTGAACTGCATCTTCTCCCAGCCAGGCTCCAACATGGGATCTCAGCTGGGCAGGAAGAAAAATGCGGGGTGGGGTGGGGAGGTGGGGAATGGAGCACGGTGAGGTGAGGTGAGGTGCAGGAAGGGTCAGGATTTATCCATAGACTCAATTACCCTTAACAAACATTCCTGTACCAAGTGACTTGTACCAAGTGACATAGAGGCTAAAAAACTGTGAGCTAGCTCACACTAACAGCTTAGAGGGAACCCTGGGATCGACCCCTTAAGAATCTTATCAAAAATCTTCCTATTGCTTCTGCAGTCCTTAGAGCTCCTGGGCCTGGCAGCCTCTCTTCACATGTGGCTTATCAGTTCCTGACACAGCCTCGTTCACCCTACCCACCTCTAGTTTTTACAGTTTGACTGTGTCTATTGGCTGTGCCTTGCTAAATCACAACTAGTCTCAACAGGCTACTCCTGCTCCTCACATGTCTATGCCTTATTTCTAGGCCTGAATACATGAGACTTCCTGTCATCTCCCATTGTTTCTGGAATCTCTTGGATATTGCCTGACTTGAATAGCTGACTCGAGACATTTTGCCACCCAAAATGACTGTGCTTTTTTTTTTAACCTTGCTGCCAGGTTTCATTTCTGCAGGTAGTGGGAGAGACAGTAAGAACCTGTATGCACCTGACAGGGCTATTTCCTCACCAGACGAGTCAGCCCACCTTCCTACCAAACGTATTTGTCCTTTTGGTGTTTCTATACTCAATGTTTCCACCTTCTGCAAAGCACTGCACTGTATTCACTGGCTTCTATGAAAGGACGGGACACGTTTGTGTGAGCTGTTCCTTTTCCTGGGGCTACACCTGACACCTGCTAGGCTGCACCACACCTCAAAAAGGATATTGGAGCATTGAAAAAAGTGCAGCTAGAATGATAAAAAGGTTGAAACACTTTCCTTATGAAGAAAGGTTAAAATGCTTGGGGCTCTTTAGCTTGGAGAAATGATGGCTGAGGGGTGACATGATCGAGGTTTATAAAATTATGCATGGGATAGAGCAGGTTGAGAAAGAGGTACTTTTCTCACAATACAAGAACTCGTGGGAACTCCATGAAATTGCTGAGCAGTCGAGTTAAAACAGCTAAAAGGAAGTACTTCTTCACCCAAAGAGTGGTTAACACATGGAATTCACTGCCACAGGAGGTGGTGGCAGCTACAAGTATGGACGGCTTCAAGAGGGAATTAGATAAACATGTGGAGCAGAGGTCCATCAGTGGCTATTAGCCACAAGGTATAGATAGGAACTCTCAGGCTGGGGCAAGTGATGCACTGTATTCTTGGTGCCGGGGGGGGGCAACAGTGGGAGGGCTTCTAGTGTCCTGGCCCCACTGCTGGACCGCCTGGTGGCACCTGGTATTTTTGGCCACTGTGTGACAGAGTGTTTGACTGGATGGGCCACTGGCCTGATCCAACATTGGCTTCTCTTATGTTCTTATGACTACTCGGGCTACTTCCCTGTCAGCAGGTCTCGTCAGCATGCCCTCATTTTCCTGTTATCTTCCTGCCCACCATCCGTCCTTTTCTACTTGCTGTACTTCCTGAGTAGAAGCAGCAGAAGGCCAATATACAGAAGGGAGAGTCCTTTTCCCTTTTCTGCTGCTCTAGTGTTTCCCAGTGCAAAGGCCAGCTGTTTTATCTTTATTGCCATATATAGACTCTTGGTAGAACAACTACTTTGTGAATGGCATGCCTGTGCTACAATGCACACAAGAAGGTCACAACGTGTCCATCCAACCTGCCTGTTTTAGATTCTCAGTGGCAGCTGACATTGTTCACAAAGGATGTACACAATGGAACTCACTGCTGACATGTAAGAAGCCCAGGGCTTTTTTTGTAGAAAAAGGCCAGCAGGAACTCATTAGCATAATACAACACACCCAATGGCAGAAACTCATTTGCATACTATACTAGGCCATACCCCATACCTTCCCTTGGCTGCCTGGGCCCCCCTCAGCTGTGGGGAGCCTGGGCAAGGCCCTCCCCCCGAAAGGGAAAGGAAGGCAGTTTAAACTGCCTTCCCTTGGCTTGCCCAGGCACCCCGCGGCTGGGCACCCTGCGGCTTGAATGGGAGGGAAGACACGGGG